TGTGCTCCAGAAAAATTGCAGTTTTCTCTAGTTTTATTACTGACTTGGGTTTTTGTTGTAATTCCCTTAAACTTAAACTCAACCCTTGCTGCTGCCGATAGCAGCAGTATTACATTTGTATCAGCTGACCCAGAAGTAGCGTGTTTTCATTATTTGGGTGTCCCACAGAGGATGCTCTGATTCAGTGAAGTACTTCATAACCATAGTAGGTTAATAGGAAATACACTTGAACAAAAATGGTGTTGCCTAATGCTTAATGGTAAGAAAAAACAGTATTGGGCATCTCAGAGAGCCCAAGATGAGCAGATATTTTTAACCTTATTAGCTCTGTGCCTCAGCTTCCCACTTGTAAACTTGTTTACAATTAAATGAATCAAAGGGATGTTGTGAAAATAAATTCATTAAGGTTTGTGAAATGTTCAGATGCTATACCAAGGAGGGTAATAGACTATCCCAAAAGTAAACGAAAGATTTCTTTCTTCTATAGAATAAGGTTTGAGGAGAGTGTGCATTGAGGAAGCCAGAGGGACCACTCTCTGACCAGTGAGGATAACACAAAAATATTGAATACTTGCCCTGCTCATTTGTTGAGCACCATCTACCCAGGACACTGACTGAAGGGAGTACTTCCTGTGGGAAAAATTAATAATGTAATCATATGATTTAAAGCCATATCATAAATCATGAATTGAAGGGGGATGAATTAAAGTTATATGAGTGTTAGTGCAACCTTACTTACTGCCACAATAAGCCACCTTATTTCTCACATTCCCTGACTTTGCTTGACTTTACAACAGCAGTGATCCTTTAATCTAGTATTTTTTGTCCAATAATAAATGTTATTATTAGTGTATGTATTCCTCAAAGTCAAATTACCAATTGAAATGGGTTCCAGGAGGAGTTCTTTCAGCACTGTGGAGTATTGAAACACCTTTAAAAAAAATTTGAAGCAGCCTTTTGTTTTCAATAAAGTTGAAATCAGAAAGAAATAAGAGAAAGAGAAGCAGGAAAATACACCTTGCAACCCAGGTTATTCCTGAAATCTAATACTTGGAGGTAATTTTCAGGGTCAAGCCCAGGAATTCAGTGGCAGAAAAGCCATTACTGCTAATGGCAGTTGTCTAGCTAATCCCTCCACAATGCACTGGAAATTTATGCAAGTCTAAATATATGAAATGCACTAGGTGTTCTTTACAAAGTGCTTACTAGGGGCTATTTATAGTGCTTCTCAAAATCTTCTAGTAGAAACACTGCCTTTAGGAATATATTGCCATGGTAAGTCTGTGCTGTATTAGCTGTGCACCCAGCATCCCAAAGAAGGGAAGGGAACAAGATAAAATGGTATCCAGAGATCCCGCTCTTTTTTTCCAAAACTATTATCTGTTTGTAGCAGGGATGTAGCAGGGATCTGTTTGTATGCATTTTCTTTATATCAAAAATGCTTCAGCTGGCTTGTGGCTGCATATTCTGGAGAAGCAGGGTTGAATCCAAGAGTCATGCTCTGTCCCTGGAGCAGATACAGCCTCGTGAGTCTCCATCCTTTGATGCTGGGGTGGAATGGGTGAGAGCACTTTTCAGGTAACAGGCTCAGTTGGTGTTTCCTAACCAAGCCTTGCATTCCCCCAGGATAAATGGGAGAAGGTGAGTGGCATATCAGAGTCATTTGTAAGCCAAAAAACAGTATTCTTTCAAAGTGGCTCCCGACAGGGTCTTGACCTGGAAAACCTGCTCTTAAAGCTAACCAGATTAATAAAGCAAGGGTATGTGCTGTTAGGAGACAGCTTATGTATCTGTTTGATCCAGGTAGTTGCACTTAAATAGACATGAGAGGCAGCATTAAAAAAAACAAAACAAAACAGAAACAAAATTACATTTATATCCTGTGTCCCTGCGTGGGTTTTAAAGTAAATTAGGGGAGAAAAAGTATTGGGCTGTATTGCTTGGATTTAGTTGTGGTAAGACAAGTTATCTTTTGGTTTTTGCATGTGACCTTATTGATTTGCATGGTTATATTATTATTAAACTAATTTAAACTAATTTAAACTAATAATGAGGTCAGGTTAGGCTATAAAGTCTTCCTGACATATAATAAAGAAAACTACAATCTTAGATACTAGGACAGAAAATCAAGATTTCATTTCTGAAATACAATGAAAGAGTCTTATCCATCCAAAGTCTATGCAGCTCGTAGAAATAATGGGAGCAGAGCAGAGCAGAGCTAAGGAAATGGTGGGCATGGAAACATGATATCCATTGACTTAGGTTCCTCAGCTGGACCTGTGGGTACCTCCCAGCTGAATGGGCTGGAGTGTGGGCCCTAGGTGTGCATCTGGTGCACAGCTTGAGCTAACAGCTTTGCACCTATTGTGAAACTGCCCCTGAGTCCTTCCCGCAGGGCCTAGCTAATCGGCATATCTGTAGCAGTGAGAAGGCTGGCAGCTTCATGGAAAACATGATCTACTTGGATTCACCAGTCATTTAAAGTGAGTGGAACTCCAGCATCATTCACATTTTAACAGAGCTGTTTGTAAAGCAGCTACTTGTGAAAAATATGTCATCTGCTTAAAAAAATCACCACAGTTCAAGACCAAAAATACCATGCTGCATTGGCTAAGGAATCTGCTTTCAATGGTAATGTATGGTGATTTCATCACAAGTCCTCATTAACATATAAAGGCAGCTGCACTGCTTAGTCCTCAAAATGTTGTGCGGAAATGTACCCTTAAAATCCTACTGAATTTTACATGTTAAAACTCAATTGTGTTTTTGCAGGAGGTGAGACAGTGTACCTTATAAGCAAGTACAGCGTAAACGGATTCAGAGCTCTCCTCCTTCCCCTCTCCCCCACACTTTGGTGTTTCTAAAACAGGTGTTACTGATAAAAAAGATAAAAGCCATCTTAAGGGGCTACTTGTACTTGTTGTAAGTAGTTATGTGCAGTACATTATTTTTAAGTACAGTGATACCCTCAGAAGCCGGATGGCAAGTTAAACCTGCCCTGATTCATTTTTCCCAACAGGCAAATAATGTCCCTCTTTCTAGTGAGAAGAGCAATCTATCAAAGAACTTTCATTTCAGAAAACTAAGAAACCAGTTTATTTTTAATTTCATAAACATGGTCAGTCATTTGTTTAGGGAGCTTTTCATTCACACTTGCCAGCTCATGCTCAGTAGATAAAAACTAGCTGGTCTAGTAATCTGAAACATGAGTATCTAACTGGAAAGAACAACTGGGCAGATATAATTAAAGTTTCAAGCTTACTTTATACCCAGGTAGAGCCTTTGAAAGACTTAAGCGAATTTAGTGCTAATCCAAACTCAGTATCTTCCAACTGATGACATGATGGGCAGCACAGAGCTGTAATTGGAGGGGCATTGGAGGAAGACTTGGAGAGATTACAGAAGAGAGAGAAGAGAGGACTGGACAAGCACAGGAATGAGTACAGCAACTTCAGAAAACTACCTAATGCAATGCAGTTCTTGTGTCTTTTGATATTCAGGATCCTAGGCTTGTCAGAGCGTACAATACTACACACCTTTCAGTTTTGTTACAGAAATCTGCATCAGAGAATGTAAACTGTCAAAATCTTTACAAGCTAAAGGAAGCAGCTTAGGAAGATGTAGGCAGTTCATTTGGCAATGTCTCCTGTTAATCCTCCCATATATTACATCATCCCTCCTTATCTTCAGATCTGTCAATGTGCGACAGATGACCAAACTTCAGGATGTTCATCCTGACATCATGTGGCACCTGGCCTCACAAGTGTGGAATCTGTGATCTGGCTGTTAACGATGGATCTTGCTTTATGTTCAGATAGCCTCTTCGAATGGATTTTTTTAATTCTTAATTTCTTTAATTAATTAATTAATTTCTTTAATTAGACAGCATCTTCCACAGCCTGGGAGTTCTTCTGCCAACTCATGCAGTGCATTTATTACGACAAGTGCTCAGGAGCTAGTGTTAGGAATTAAATCAAGTTCCCAGCATGCGAGTCCTCTTTTTTGACTTTGCCTCCATCTCCTTTTGCTAATGTCGCTTTCATGTCATCTTTGCCTCCTCCCAGTTCTGTTCTTCTTGTCTTTAGTTCTATAGGAGCTTTTCTCCTTGATCCTTTCCTTCCAACCTGCTTATTTCCTTCCTCTGTTTTGGAAAGGTTCTCCATGCTGTGCTCGCACTGGGAGCCTTCTTGCCTCCACCAGATGAGCAGCACCCTTTGCTAACCATAATGTGAGTGGAATTTGGCATGCAGCAGAGCACTAGTCTCAAGGAGCAGACACTGCCCAGAGGGACAGCATGTGAAATGCAGTGAGACCAGATGAAATCCAGTATGACCCCTTGAGATCCAAGTCAGAAAAGGCAAATTTTTAAACTGAATGTTGTATTGCAAGGTAAGAGAAGGAAATTCCTGAAGTCTGTTTTCCTGAGAATGAAGGCCTGGACAGATTTTTTTCTGGTTTTATTTATTATTATAATTTTTAGGAGCAAGTACAGATGAAAAATGATTTCACTCTACTTGATCCAGGAAGGCAGCTGGAAACTTAGGGTCTTCTGATAGCTCCAATAAGGGAAGAAATTGGTGACAGGTAGTTCTGTGAAGTAATCTTGTTTGATGATAAAGTCCTGTTGTGTTTGCACTTGGGAGGCATCAGCCAGCCAGAAACAGTTCCCCTGTCCACTTCACCAAACCCTGTGGAGCAGCATTGGCAGGGGAAGTCTCTAGGCTTTTCTCAGGGTTACATTAGTGGGTGCTTGCATAAGATGAAACACGCTTTCTTATTATTGCTTACTTTCTCCCCTCCTTTTTCTAACCCCTCTCCCTTATTTTCAAACAAGATCCAAAAAACCCCTCTTTTAGATCAGTTTCATCTCTGTCTTTTTTTCTCTGAGCAGTGCTGAGTCTTACAGATGTCCTAAGTGAACAGTGGGAGTTATGCCTACATAGATTACCAGACAGGTACCTTTTCCTGACCGTATCTTACTTTTCTGCTTTTAAATGCAGCCTGCGTTTGATGGTTTCCCTTCAGCTTCACAGAACCTGCAGAACTGTAGGTAAGTATGTTTCCTCAAAATGACTCTCTTTGCTATTTCATATCTTTTATTTGCCTTTCTTGTCCACTCCTCTTGCATCAGGGCCAAACCATAACGAAGCAAAATAATAACACAATGAGTATATGTTTACATATGTCAGTGTGTACATTGCAATATTTTAAATAAAGCCTCTGTCTTGTGGCTGAATAAAAATGGTTCAGACAATGGGATAGTTTCAAAGCAAGAAGAGCTAAATATAGATCTAGCATCATGCCAGTAAATATCGTAAGTCTGCGAAAGCCATCAGAAACAGTCAGCAACCAATGTCACTGGAGAGTGCCTGCAGAAGCCAACAACCAAGAGAATATAATTTATGGCCACGGTAGCCAGTGAAGCTAGCCAGAAATGGAAGACAATATTACGGAGTCTAATTACAACATCTAGGCTGGCCAGGCTCCTCAGAGATGTTCAGGCCTATCAAAAGCCTAAATTGCCATGAGCCCTGAGGTGGGGGAGTGTCTCAGGAAGCACAGTGGTGATTCCTCTGATGGATTAAAAGCCACGCTGAGAGCCACGTCAAATCCCCTAGGTGATAACACCAGAATGGATCTTGAGTACAGCCTGGCTTAAAACGGTGCAAAGCATTCTTTATGGAGGCAGTAGGAGGGAAACAGAGCATAGTACAAGAGGGGACGCAGTTGTGATGGAGCAGCGAGGTGTACACAACGCTGGAGAGCTGCAGTTCCCTAATTCTACCTGGCAGATCTTCCCCATTTTTAGAGATGTTCTAAAAACTAGTTTCTGGTTTGCTGGCATCTATTTTAATTCTAATAGAAAATCCCATTCTTGATCAAAAAATGTATATTTTAAACTTTTCAGTGAAAGAAAAGGTTGCAGTTTGAGAGAGGGAGCAAATACGATGAAAACTGGTCAAACACTGTCCTGGGGAAGGGATTTCCTAGGTTCTGGTCCCTGCTTGAAGAAGTGGTTCAGTAGTTTACACACTTTAGGCTGAGCTACTATGAAATAAATAAAGTATTTTAGCAGGGACAGCACTCTGATTCCCTTTTTCCAGGTCAGGGCCTGACTGCAGGGCTACAGAATCACATTCACTTTCTGTTGCCCAACAGATCCTGACTTTTTTTTTTTTTTTTGGCCATGCTGGCACCAAAACTTTATCAGGAAAGACACAGTTTCCATCCCAATCCTGTCTGATAGACCTATATTTAGGTTAGTTTCCTAGGCCTGGAGTGATGGGGTGTTTTCATAAATGTTGTCAGGTTGCACTGTGGACGATGACATAATAGCTTGGCTAATTAAGTTCTAGTATTATGCACTTACATGGCTGATCAGTACTAAAGCTATTCATTTTACATCATTTTAATCTTTAAAATGTTACAAAAGCTATATAAAATGAGTGGCTTACTGTAAATGAGTGGACAAAGACCACAGTCAATAATTAAAGTGCTCATTCACCAAAGTGCTTTAGCAAGGTTATATTTCGTTAAAGATTTTGAAGCTGGACATAGTGCTGCAATGAAGCCCATCAGCCATTCCCATCATTTATTTAGATTTGCTAAATAACCTGAAAAGAGATTCAGATACCAGCCAAAGGGGTTAGGCAGAAGGACTATCGAGTTAGTCATCAGCACTTCTGCTGTCATGTTTTGGCCACCACTGAAGATGCAATTATGTGACACATGCACACTACCTTTGTTCTATGTTGCTTTGAATGTGAATTGACACAGTATATGACACAGGACTTGTGTTGGCCCATAACAAAGTGGAATGCAACTTGGTGTACACCTCAAGCGCATACTTAGATGATGCTAGTATTGATTTGAAAGCAACTGTTCTTGACATCTTCCCTCAAACTTCAGTAACTTTCCTGCAAAGTTACTAATTACTTGCCAGTGACACAGGAGAAGAGAATACACAAAACAAAACAAGTATTAGTCTACAGCACGTAACTTTTCAAATAACATTTATTAAACATTGTCTTTGTTTCAAATGAGTACATACCCTGCAAGACCATCCAAATGACTGTGAAGCTTCAAAGATAATTATTGTATTATATATTAACAATGTGTCTTATCATTATACCTCACTTTAAATTTCTTTCAAATATTAAACAGACACTGGCTTTAGTAGTTAGTTGAATTGTTTATGGTACCAAAATCAAACTAAACATTCAGAAAATTTTCAGCAAGAGATTCCAGTTAATGAAAGCACCATTTGTGATGTGCTAAAACATGTATACACATAGGTATTGCCCCATTTATCAGACATGAGAGCTAATTACCTCATCCACAGCTATATTTCTTCCATCCTCTGCATTTCAATTCCCAATATTAAAACATAGGTGGTCAAGCTGACCATTGAATAGCCTACATGAGCATGAATGCATTAAATAATTTAATGTTAGAAGAGTTTATTAAACTGCCACATTCTAATCAGCATGCGTACCTGCCTTCATTAATCTTGCACTGGTCCATGGTGTGTCTCTACAGCCAACATAGAGTGTGCTAATGTTAATAGGAGCTCTTAACAAACAGGATCAGTTAATCAAGGAAAATTTACTATTAGCCACATGACCATGCATACTGAAATCTAATTACAATCAGATTTAACCTCTTCATTACTGTATTCATCTAAATATTTTCCTTATCACTTGTGATACTAAACTATTCCAATCTGAGACATGATTATACTTGTTTGAACTGGAAATATTCATGTTTATTAAGGAGGGAGACTCTGTTTGCTCCGGTTTTAATGTATAACTGTTACATAGGTGGCATTTGCTGCCAGAACCAAGAAACCCTGTACCACTTTTTCCCATCCAAAACCTGGCTATAGGAAATAATTGCTAGAACAGAATGTTTCAAAATGAACTTCAATATTCTGGAATAGTTCAGATGGAGTTTAGCACTTGGTAAATTATCAGTTATCACTCCGTAAATAGGATGGGTATGATTTAGAATATGCAATTACTTTAGCAGCTAAACAGTGTTTTAACTTTTTAAGCCATGTGTCCCTTTTTGTTATCAGTTGAACCATATTATTTTACAACACACTGCTATTTTCATTGGATCCTAAACTGTGGTAAGCAGTTACGCCCCATCTCTGGCCACAGTCCTCTCAGTCTGTTCACAGAAGGGATGAGTTTGGAGGGGACCTGTGGAGATTGCTTAGTCCCTAGCCTGATAGAGAAAGGGTAAATGGATATAGTTCTATTTTAGAGCTATTGATTTCTTTTTTATTTTATTTTTTAAATATCCCTTTTCTGTATGCAGAGAGCAGACAATCACTTCAGTGTGGAAGAGGTCAAATCTGTTTCTTTAATTAGGAATCTGTGTGACATTTTGGGTGGAAGAGCAATGGATTTTTGACTCACAGTAGAAAGTAGGATTCTGAATGATTTTAAATTGCTGAGAGGGTCATTTGCATGGGAAGTTTATTGACGCTATATTGCTGCACTTCTCCTTCACAGTAAAACGTGTGTATGGGATCATAGCAATGGCATTTGTTGACTTTGGGAAAGGGACCAAGCACCAGCCTTAGCAGTGCTACTGGGGATTGCCTCCGTTTCTATCGCCATATGGGCTTTGCTGTCACTCCTCTGCCTACCGCTCTTTTTCTTCCCTTGTCCGTTCCTCCTTCTCCTCCGCTCTAGCATTTAAACTGATTAGCTTTTGCAAATGAAATAAAGTCCTGGAATGGTTTCTTCCTCTGGGAAATCTAGTTGTTAAAAATCTGCCATTTGATGCAACCTGGTACATTCCAGTGAAGAAAGTGAAAGTATTTTTTGTGATCTAGAGTAAAAGTCAGCCCAAGACAGAATAGTACAGCTGGTCCAGAAAGGGAAATGGACTTGCTGAGGCAGGACTTAATTTTCTGGTTGCCCCTACCCACACTGTTCCAGTGCCATATTTTTTCTCTTCTTGCCTGCCTTCTTCATTAGTTAGATTTGTTAGGTCCACCATTTTTTGTGTTTTGTTCTTTCCAGTACTGTTCTTCCATCTTTTGGTGTCTTTTCCTTCTCTCAGTTTCTTTTTCCTATTTGTTTCTCATTTTGTTACCTAACTCTTGGGCCACTCTGTTGTGCCACGGTCCCTGGATTAGTTTTATGGAGGCTAGTTTTATGGCTGTGCTTCATGAGTGGGCACAGTGGCACTTGCATTGGAGCAAACAGCGCAAAAGTCAGAATCTCTCTCATTCCTTTGGAGCTTTTAGTAAGATCCAGACAAACATGACTGATGGTCTGGGTCTGATTTGTGCCTGCTATTTGAATATTCCTACCTTATTCTTACTCCTTTCTCTCAATTTTAACTTAGTACTGAAGGCCAAATCACACTTTGCATTGGTTCCACTTCTTACCTTCCTTCTAGCTTATGTTCCTTTTTCCTGTTGACTCATAACAGATTTACATGACAATGATGTCATGAGGACAGCTGACAAATTGCAGTTGATTGTCAGAGACCTTGCAGATCCATCTGCGGAGAGGAACCTTTGAAAGTGCCTCAGCCTCTTTAGGCTTCTCCTTAACTGGGGAATAAATAAAACACAGCTATCAGTAGATCTCTGCCACTACCACTACGACTTTACAGAGCTCTATAAAGAAAATTGGGATTTTGGATCCTTTAAAACTTGGGCAAGGTGAGAAAAAAGAAAGAATAATTGGTTGGGAAAGAATAATTTTTTAACCTACATTTAACTTTTGGGACTCTCCACTTTATGAACACAAAAGCTCAGGACTTGAGTCCTTGCTACTTTCTTACCCACGTGGAATGCGGCAGAATGCCAGGGCTCTGACTTTCACAGTATATTCCCCCATGACATAGGTCAACTTAGGAAATTCCAGTTTCAAATGAGTGAGAAGATGTCCCATGTGGCTGCAAGGTGCATTAAAGGGCTCCTTTGTGTTTGAGGGTGTTTGACACTTCCCAAAAAGCAAATTCATTCCTTGTCCTGTGAAGACTTCTCTGTTGCAAATAAGCCTTTTTTTTTTTTTCCAGTCATAGGTTAACATGGCTCACAGCGCTGGATAGATGGAGTCTTACGTCCCTGCACAAAGCTGGGACAATCAATTAGCAGGTAAGAACAGTGCCTGTTTCTCCCTCACCTATCCTAGAACTTATGGCCTCAGTTTCTGTAGTAATGGTTCAGCTTTATCTTTGCTGCAGACAGAGGAACCCAATCAATTGAACATTTTCTGTGTACCTAAGACCAGATGAGTCCTTGTGTTTGCCCCATCACACCAGCCACTGTGTGCTAAACTGTACATTTTTTGAAGTATGCAATCATATTTGGAGTGAAAGCATGGCTGCCACCTAAGTATCAGTTTGCTACGATATACATACTCTCAAGGCATCATGCACAGTGCTTGTCAAATTTGGGGGGAAGTGGCACATTTGTAGCTCGCTAACTTGAAGAGAAGAGAAGCTATAGGATAAAAAGAATTTGACTCCCATGAATGGGATTTTGGGGCAGGGGGAGAGGGAAAGGCATTTCTTCCAACCTAGCTGTTTTGTAGTTATACTGCTTGTTTTTGCAGCATATCTAAATACTCTAAATTATAAAATATTCAGGAACTGTATTTGTATCTGCTGCTCTGAACAAATCCAAGAATGTTGTCAGGGCTAAACAGAGGAATAAATAACACAACAAGAACACAAGCAGATTCTTCATTAGTAGAATATGTTTCCTCTGCTCTGCTTTACTTTTTGTACTTCTGGTGCTTTTGATTGCAATTGCTCTATAAACCTGACCACAAAGGAGAACACTGATAACTTGCTAAATGTACAAATCCAGCATGATAGAGGAATTTAATGCAATAGTATATGACTCAAATATAATGTAGTTTGAAAATGTCATATGATAATCCTACATAAAACCCTATTCATCAAAAGGCTTCTGCTGTCAGGTCATGATGGTGCTTTGATTATTTTACACATTATTTACACTGGATAGAGTTAGAAGGCATATTCTGTGCATGATTCAAGATGAAAAGTAATCCCTTAAAAGGGAGGGTGTATTCTTTGTACAGATGTTAATTTTGATTGTAGGAAAGGGGGGAGAAGTACTAATAAAATTGGTCAGGACATAACAGTATTCTGAAATTACTCTTAAAAAGCAAATGGATGTATAACGTGAAAGTATTTTTAAAAATTTAACATTACATTACATTAAAGTGGCTGCCTGAGTTCTGTGACTGGAAATGTGTAAGCTAAAGGAGATATGACATTTTCTGTAATGAAATCAGGATGGTTAGAAAAAAAGTCTGAAAAGGGCCCAGACAGGAGAAAAGAAGGACAATTCAGCAAGATTTGTGGCATCATACATCACAGGGGCAATACTGTGCTCATAGCAGTTGCTTAACACTAGAAATCTATGTTTATCACTTCAACTGAATAAACAAAATCAAAATGGGAAGGGAAGGAAACTGGACATCGAGTCCTGGTGCTGGGTGAGCTGCCCATTGCTAAAAGGGGCAGGGGATCTGTGGCAAGCAGCGTGAGGAGGAGTTGTCCACGTTCTTAAGTGATCACTGAGGGAAGCTGGAGGTCTGAGTATTATGGACAAAACCTTAGAGTAATGAATGCTACAGATGACACACCACATTTTCACTCTGCTTCTCCCTGCCCTGTGGTGCACTTTTTAAAAACAGTGAATCTGGTCCCTAAAAATGTTTTTTCCAGCTGCTCCCTGTAAGAAGCAGATGATATGTGTTGTCCTGAAGACTCTCTACTCATCTGTTTAGATTCACCCACCCTCTGTGGATTCTGTAGGTCTCCACAGGAAAATTAAAAATGCTGATATAATTTTCCTCTCACTTTTAAAGGCTCTCTCCAGATTTTGTTTCCCTCTACTCCTAACTTAGAATCTGATCCACAGGCTGATAAATATTGATGAGGTATTGATGATGTTGAATTATCATTTTCCAGCTTAAGGAATTAAAGTGAATATTCTTTATGTTAAAATTCAGTTTGTAATCTATATATCAGAAGCTAGTGGTAAATTAAAATCATAAGAGCTTTTCCTTAATTATGTACTACTATATTACAATGGTCTACTACCATATTTTACTACAATAAAATCCTTAAAAGTATTTGCTAATAAATATTGATGCAGTTTTATTCCATTTTTTAAAGTACATTTGCTGAATTTCTTACACATATCAAACAGCAGAGAAATATAATGGAGCATAAACAGTTTTAGAAAAGTAACGTTACAGGGAATTTGCTGAAGGAGCTGGAAGGCCAGATTAAAACATTTTCCAGACCTGCTGAGAGCTTATCTTAAAACATGACCAAGATAATTGTTTTATTTTCTTCTACTGCAACATCTGGAATAAGTTCCTAAAAAGATAAGAAGTGTATGCACAAAGTGCAACTGCAGCATAGAATTACACTCCCACATAGCTTTTCATTTAATGTGTTTCAACTACCAGCTGGCCAAACAGAGATGAAAATTTAGTAAAACATGTTCAAGCTCGAAGAAGTGTTCAGTCTTTTCTGTTCCCTAACACACTTCACGTGATTTGTCTTCTACTTCTCTTTCTCAAGGGCTAAATGTTTCAAAGTATCACAGTTTCTAGACAGCAGGGTAACCACAACAAAGCTCTTCTGGAAATAAAAACTACATCCAGCCTCTTCTGCTTTTATCTGTACATGAAACACAGTCTTGTAAGCCTGTATCTCTTGTTATAGACTGTGATGTCTAAGGGAGTTAGGCACTCATTTCTAAATCTCATCTTGGAAATCCTAGCCAAAGCGAATTATTTCCTTATTCTTTGGGTTTATATGGCCTTGGAAGATAAAAGTGTTTTCACCAGGACAGCTTCTTTGTAACTGAGCTTTCCATTAATGAGAACATGCTCAGTTTTTTATACTGCCTGTTATTTGGATAGTGAAGATGTAAGTAAGTGCATTACAGCTTGAAAATATAGAAATACTTACCTGTATGCAAAATAAATCAGAATAGATTTCAGATCATCTGCAAACTGTGAGATGCTAAAAAAGTGGCTTTCAGGAAGAGAAACCAGGCTGTTGTGCAACAATGTGATAGAACTTCTCCAGTGGATATGGATGCCAAATACATCTGGAAGCAGGGAGGGGTAGGCTGCTTTGCTGGGTAGTTCATGATCAGCTCCAGGCATCCCTCCTAGAAAAAACATACAAGACCAATGCAAGGCTTGCAAAAACACACTTGTTAAGCCTTAACAAAAGGAAAAAGGGAATAATTATCCAACCGTAATGAATATATGTGTGACACACAGATGGACTTTCACAGCTTCTGGATCCCACAAACCTGACTGCACAAATTCCAGCAGCAATAGATGTAAAAGGTTGTGGCGACTATGCTAGTTTCTGAGGTAATCTGTTAGAATCTCTTTGTTCTGGTAAAATTTAAAAATCAATGCTGAGATATTCTATATTGGGTGATTTGATCTCTTTGTAAGTGAGGATTCTTACTTCTGCACCTGCAAGCAGAAGGATATGCCAGCAGCAATACAATGTCTTATGTCCAGCTGGGAATTACCACCACAATTATTATTTCAGCATTTTTCTTGGAATAAATGCAATTTCTGTGACCTCTTCCTCTGTTCCTGAAATATTGCAAAGAAGAAATGATTGAGTCAGCCCAGAAAGTATACTTCAGTATTTTACTGCAAATCCCTCCAATTCACCATTGGAAAGTCCAGATTTAATGATGTCAAGAAATTCTTCAGGCTTGCATTGTTTTTTTTTTTTTGTAGAGTAGCTTGTCAACAACTGCTCAATTTTTTTAAAGTCAGAATATCTAATTACATTTCAAATATTTTCAAATCAAAATGTTTCAACATTTTAAAAATGTAACTATTTCATTTTTTGTTTGAAATAACTTTCTATTGTTAGAAAAATCCTTGAATGAGAAAAAACAAAATAGTCTGTTAGTGCTGAAATGTTATATAAAATTTGCATGTGATCTAAAACAAACATTTGACTTTCTGGTTGGCTGAGCATTTTACTTTTTATTTGTTTTCAGGTCAATCCAAAATGAATCCCTCCCATCACCCTTTTTCCTGGAATTACAGGTAAATTGAAAAACTGTCTTACTTTTACAGATTTGTTAGGAAGAAACAAAGAGAAGAGAAACATAGAGATGAGGCACACAGGAGTAAGTCAGGAGTAACAAATGCTCATAGCAATGTGTTTCAAAGAGTCAAAGACAGACTTAAATCCAGTTCCAGATCATTTCTTCTACAGATTTCAAAGGAAGAAGAGCTCTGCCTAGACTCAGGATTTTTCTGAAGGGTCATTCCTGAATCCAAGTACAAGTTTGACATGATTTTAATTCAATTAGACAATATTGGTCCCATCTGGCAATAGGATTTGCAACTCAGCTGAGACTGATGAAGGTGACATTTTACCTTCTCCAAATTCTTCATTCAAGAGCTCAGAAGACCTATAAATTTGATATCCAGCTTTTCCTCCTCACTTCCTGGCAGCATGTCGAATTTTCCCTTTTTTTGTTGCAGCTATTCCTACATTTCATCTCCTGATGTCTTAAAATCTTATTCACTCCCTCACTCTTCATAATCCAGTAACTTCTCCCACCTTCAGATGACAGTATGACAGCTGCTCATCTGTACTTTGATGTTGTCTATTCTTACTTGTTACTAACCTTAACTAGAGAGGGAGTTCAGTATGAGCTTGGCTGTCTCTGTAACATTTCTGCAGCCATTTCCACAGGACTGAGGAAAGGAGAAAGAACTCAGCTATGCTTTTTTAATACCAATGCTAGCTTACCCAGAGGTAGCCTGAATGCCATTACCTCCCATTGCCTTCTTTAGACAAAGAGTTACTGGTGTTTCGTATATGAATACATTAGTACCTTGTGCTTAATTAAACAGTGATTAAAAATCTGATGGTGCTTCCTAATTCAATACCAAGGTCTATGCTCACAAGATGGGAAAGTAACTGCAGAATTTTTTCTTCAGGAGTGAGGTTTCCTTATGAAGTTCCTGTCTGTGCCCTTGCTGCTTCTTGCGGTTTTGGTTCCACCAGTACCTCTGTCTGTAAGGAAGATATAAGCTTTGAGAAGGAGAGGACAGTGAGGGAGAGAAGGTGTTAACCCAAACCATTTTGGTATTTGTTTCATAGCCTGTCTCCCTCCCTTTTAAACTGTGGCAGTCTAAACAAGAGGGTGTGGAAATTGATACAGGAGTGGGAAAAGCCAGAAGGTGTATGTATGTTAGGGAAGGGTCAAGACCTTCCTAAGCTGGCTTTATCACTGAAGAAATTGATATCCTGAGAGGATGACATATTGACAAGGATACAATATTTGTGATCTTACACCACTGGAGATCCAAAAAGCATATCTTGCTAGAGGTATGTTCTGTGTAGGACTCTTGTGTAGTTGCGGTTTGGAGGAATTGTCCACCCAAATGATATTCCCCTGAAGACAGCCACTACATCAATCTGTAGTACTGTGTAAATTTCCCTAAGAATTTTTCAGCAAGCTCTCCTAGGCTTTATTTTATACGTGCTGGCAGCAGCAAACACTGCAACAGGTTTTTTCTGTCTGACACCTCTCATTCGTCCCGATCACTATATTTATCGACGCACAGATTTGTTGTTTGGAATCTCAACTTCAATCATGCTCATTTTATCATCTCTGAAGATAGCTTGGCACTAATCTGGGTTGGGTTTGGGTTGGGTTTTTGTTTTAATGACGCTTCAACAGAGATCAACGAGTTTCAAACAAACATCCCTTCCAGCCTATTCAGAAAAATGCACTGGAACCTACCAGAATAAACCTCAATCTTGTAGGGTCATTTGAGGGATAAACAAAATGTGCATCTGGTCCATACTTGGCTGGAACTTATCTTTAGCGCAAACGTCCAACCTTTGACAGATTTTGTCATCTTTATTTTATTGAATATTATTTTATTGCTCTGGTCATCCTATGCATCCTAACAGAGCTATGAGAGAGCATGAGTTTATGTGCTGTGCACATGTATAGAAGAATTGACCCACAGTGATAGTGGTTTGTTGCTGCCAATATTGTGTTACACTTTTTATTGCCTATTTAGTCAATATAAACACATGGACTCTTAAGATAATTTTTGAGGTATGAAATACTTCTAATTCTACTTATTAAATATTAACCTTGTACAAAGAAACCTGATTTTTTTTAAATCAAATATTATAAAGACCTTTTTAGTGTTGAGGCAATGACTGAAATACTAAAAAAAAATTTTGATGACATTTCTTAATTCAGTCTATTCAGTCCTATTGTACTGTATCTGATACTCTAGAAAGAAGGGGGAAACATTTGAAATGTTCTAGGAATTTCCATTTCCTCTGTCCCTTCTAAAGATGTTTGGTGGGGGGAGAGAAGGAGTGCTTAGAAGGGCTTAGGGTTATGAGTTCCCCATTCCTACTGGTTCAACCTTTAGGAGATGGCTATAAAGATTGCCCTCCCTGCGCTCGTCGTGTTACCCCACTCCTGCTGCTGATACCATCACCTGCCTACTCCCAGGCTCCCCGTCAGCTGCAGCAAAATGCAGATCTTGTTCAAATGAGAATAGTGATCCCAAACGAAGAAAACCAAGTTTTCATTGCAAACCATCAGTCATGTATGCATTGTGCTTAGTGCTATCACCACATATAAAGAACAGGCAGCTGAAAGGAACTGTCTTAAGAAAAAGACAGCGAAGTCAAGCCTGACACTGAAAGGCTGCGTTCACTAAATACTGTCTGAAGATAAGTTAACATTTTCTCATTTCAAAACTCTCATTCTGCGTATGCAACAAGGAAAATTGTGAGGAGAAGGGAGAATTTGTCCAAAAAGCAATTAACAACAACATACCGACCAATGAAAGTCTCTTCCTAACACTAACTTACCCAGCAGAAACTTAACATCATTCGACAACCAGCAGGGCAAATCCTTATTACCTCGCTGTCCGCTTCTCCTCGTGCAGGAGATGCTGCTCACTGGGGCCGGTCAGCAGGTAGTGGAGTCCCAGGTGCTGGGGGTGCGAGCAGCATGGTGCCTGCCTTGCTGCCTACCTCTGGCCTGGGACTGCACCATCCTGTTCCTGCTAGCATGATTTCAGCTCTGCTAGCTGAAAAGGCAAACAAAGAAGGTTCGTGATTCAGTAGCAGAGTAAGAAAGGGAGCTTTAGAGGTTAAAGCCACAGGGCCTGTACTTGCCACTTACTGATAGTTTTTATTCTCCTTCTTTATGTTGAATTTAACCAATGTGGCTGAATTTCAGTAATCTGTATTGACAACAACACCATCTAAAATACCCTTTTACAATACACAGATATAAATTTAGGTCGATAAATACGGAGGGGAAAAAACACTGGTATCTGCAGATCTGAGTCTCTTTCCCATTTGGTAACTGCTCATTCAATATCAGCTGATCCATTCAACTGCAATGGGTTATTTTTTTAGTTTATAAGGTTCCTGAAAGATTACTGCTATCATACAGGCTTTTAAAATAACACCGGTAATATTATATCTTTAGCTAACAGAAGAATGCCATGATTATGAGATTTATTTCCTCCCAAAGACAGTCATATTTAAAAATTGATGTGATCTTTTTACCAAGTAGTTGTTCCGGTTTACCTTGACTCACTAGTCTGAGTAGTAAGGGGACTGGTAATTTAGCTTCATTTAATTTCTGACTATCTTGACTTCTACAGTTTCTTTTTGCATTATCAAGCTAACGTGGTATTTTGTAAGTGCTAAACAATACATACAATAATTGTATGTCCATATTAAAATAGGGAGAGATTAGATCTTTTTTATATAATTTTATTACTTTCTTCCACTATGCATCAAAGTTCCACATAGAGTGCCTGTTTTTACTTAGGATATATTTTTTTCAATAGCGAGAACTTTTCAACCTTGTGTGATCTCTTTATAATTCCCTTTAGAATACATAATTGTGCTCGATCAATTTGTTAAAGGCTTCTGAAGTGTTAAAAAAGCTGCATTAAAATTATTTTCTTTCAGGTTTTATGTTAATGAACATAGGTGCTATTCAAAGCAAAGTCAGTGTGTCAAGGGAACTTTAGTTAAAGTTATTCATACATAAACTAAAAAAGGAAACATCTTTAGTGGAGGAAAATACATTTAATGAGTAAGTGCAGCACACAATTCCTCCTTTCAAAAATGTCAGTTCATATTGAACCTCCCTTCTAGATATCTTACAATTACTTTGTCAACAGAAGGTAGAGTAGTGATGGATGATACATTGGTTCTTGAAACCAAACTTTCTGTGAGTTACTTAGGCTGAAACTAAGTGCTTTTACATTCCAGTCCTATTGATGATAGTGGTTTTATATTTATCACCCTGTCATTTCAGTTGACTGTATCAGCCTCTTCAGTGCAGGAATATGGACACTAATGGAGGTGTGTCCTTAGTGCTCTAAAGGGTCACCGATTCATTCCACTAACACGTTCACAGCCCTGTTACAAGCTCAGAAATTGTTTTGCCATTTTAAACAGTAATCTGCAGCTGTAGGTGTATGTGGCCTGTGAAAAACAGTTTCTTACTGGTCTTTTTAGACCATGCTACCTGTTTGACACTGAATATGCTTCTTTCAACTTTCAGTAATATAATGTTACTGTTTTGCAACCTGCCCTATAATAGTCAGAATTCTACCAGGGCCTTGGGAGTCCAGGATCAGATTGCAACATTTATTTATAAGAAATTCTGTCAAGAATCAATAATAGTCTTGGGTCTCAAGTTCCTTCTTTAATAATACTTTGATATGATTTGTCACAAGCTAGCCCACAGTATCCACCAGATTTTATTACTTAGCTTGCAGCACAGTCTCTCATCTTTGAGTCATGAGATCAGCCATGGGGAGACCTTTAAAAAGCTATATTCTTTACTGTTTGGTTATTACAGAAAGTCTATATTACTCAATAATATCTTTTATAAGGTGTGCTGTCACATCTTCACATAGATGTTTAACCTCGATGTAGATATACTGAATGCCTGGAGGCCATTTTAGTGACATGGACATTGTTTTTCATGATTGGATGCCAAATGTATCAACAAAAACAACAGAAGTTGGGCCTTATTTTCACAGCTTGGTAGTTCTGACGGAATCTCATACTAACTGTCGATAGCAACTAAGATTTTATTTAGGGAGTCGAGTGTAACATTTTTATTACTTGAAAGTAGTAGAAATTCTGTGAAAGCAATTTAGCTTACTTTCCACTGTAATATGAGTTCCTTAGATTCTACTGTGTGTCTCAATAAACAAGATCTAACTGTGTCACTAGCATAATGTAGTTCTAAATATGTAAGAAATTCAGATAGTTACAATGGGCATTTACTTATACAGACTGGTTTACAATGTGAATTCTCTGTGTTGTTGACTTAAGGCCCAATCTGCTTGACTCCCTGAAATTGTCAGTAAAGTTTGTTTAAAAAATGCTTTGAGTAAAATTGAGATTTTCCTCTTCCACTTTTGTGGAATTGAGAACTTGGGAAAAGTAGAGGTTTGCTCTCTATCTTGTACATAGTCAGTCGTGAACCCTAGCAGTACCAGTTAAACAAATAATAAATAAATATGTTTTCATAAATCATAATGATTTTTTCCAAATACATCTTTTGAAGAAATTACATGCATATAATTTTGAAATCATTAATTCTTAAAGTTTTCCTGTTAATAATAGGAATTCATTAGCATTTAATTTTCTGTATTTGAGAGTTCTTTTGGGCTTCTATGTAAATATGTTTTTAGCAGAGAAGGAAACATTTAATTAGGGTATTGTTGAAAATTGAGTAAAGTTATTTAGGCAAGGCATGTTTTCTTCAGGGTAGAAGCATGCACACTTTTCAACACTGCTCATAGTGAGGACGTTAGAAAGATAGTAGGTGTGATGATTTGATTTTAAGAGATTATATCTCCCTGATTTATCATTTTTTAAAGCTTGTCTCAACAGAACCTGTAAAGCAGATAGTTCTTGGTAAAAGCCAGTCCTCCCCTATAATAAAGTTACATGGCCTGTTTCAGCTCAGAGCTAAGAATCCAAAATTATCATTAGATCCATGGAGGACTATAATATACATATTACAAAATAAAAATAATTCTAAATTCTTTATTAAATGTTCATAGTAAATTTTGAATTATAGGGAGGCAATCTTTAATTGACTCTAAAAATTTTCAGTGCTTTATTTTGGAAATGTGACATTTTCACAGAATAAAGTAATTCTGAGACTAAAAATATTCATTGGTTAAACAAAGATTTTTACTCATGAAAAAATACTGGTATTCTTCCCTTAATGAGTATTTAATTGACAACTGGAGATATTTCTGTCCAAATGCTTTTCCAATTTATCTGAAAACAAAGATTTTAGTTCTAGATGCAATCTAAATTACAATAATTCCACAGTATCTGAACACTGCTTTTATTTTGCAAGATTGTTCCAATTTCTGACAAGAGCCTTAGAAAGCAAGTCCTCAGAAAATACAGCAATGTATAGTATTTAGATGTAGCATTCATTTTTAGGCATCTTAGTCAATTAATTTTGAAACGTATTTGAAAGATTGTTGTCTAATCATGCCTCTGATGTTTGATTTATATTGAGGACAGAATGAATGAACTAGAAAGATGAAAAATATCTTTTGCAATGGATATTTTGGAGGAATTAATGTATCTGGTTCCACCAGCCAGTTTATACATACACGTGCATGCGCACACACATGTGCACACACACACATGCCTATACATATATATTAAACAACTAGTGAAGCTATTTTCTTTCCTATTTATAGTTTTAGATCCATATGTAACATAGTCTACCTTTCCAATATCTGAATAATCTACCTGCTGATAGCATTGACTTAAGTGAGAAAACATAATAAAAAAGATATTGAAATAGAAGCCTGGACTAGCCTAATTGCAAAGACGAAGCGCTATTAAATTAGATCTGTACTTGACTACTTCCTCTGTAAAAGGAGAGTTTTAGGAGAAAAAAATAAGGAAAGCTGCAAGCTTTTGCCTGAATCAAAGAGAAAAAAGTTAAAAAAGATGTGGGCATTTCAATATTCAAATTACGAAACGCTAAGGTGGTGGTAACTTTGGCTTGCTGCCTAAATTTCATAAACTAACCTGTGCTCTGAATTTATGAGAAACAGAGAATGTTAGCCCTAGACTTGTCTTGTTTAGCTTGACCTCAAGCCCACAGGCTGCATCTGTCTTATCAGAACTATTCATTCAGCCCATGGCCTGCTCTTTTCCTTAGAGCTGTCATTTCCCTCCCTGAGGAATGAAAGGGAACGTGCCCATCACATAACCAAAATGCAGATGTCTCTTATCATACGACCAGATATATATACCTGCCACATCCCTGCTGAAGTTTTTTGGTTTTGTTTTTTTTAGATGGTCTCCTCTGTTCATGTGCCAAGAGAATGGCCATTTAGCTGTCCTTTAATGCCTCCATAAGAGGATGTGTCCTTTGATGCATCTTGAAAGCTTCCCCATCCCAACAGAAATAGATTATTCTTTTCTAACATAGCTATCGCCTCCGCTAAAGTCTTGTTTTTCATTGTGTTCAAGTTTTCTGCAATCGATTGACCATCCCTCTAACAAGAACATGACAAATGCTTATTGCTTTGCATATATTTAGATAGTGCACTAATGAACATGATATGAGCCAGAAGGAACAGAATGAAGACTGCACCTGTTTTAGGATTTGAGCATTAAAAATGTATACTGGATATGTGTGTATTCTTTTAGAACTAGGAACAGAGTCAGCCTTTTCAAGATCCTTCATTGTTACTGGTTGTGGAGAGTTTTATCAAGGTAATGACTTCAATGGACAGACCTGATTAGGCTAACTCATATTCGCTATGTCTTTTTTTCCATTAGCCTTGTGATTTAGCAGTGAAACCTGACGAGCCATTGGCTATTGCCATAGTCAGTTAACCTTATCATAATAATAGGTCCTGTAAAATCCTTCAAACTTCTTGAAGCAAAAGAACATGAATGGATACTAATTGTGTGAGCTTGATGATTCTATGGAATTCATTGTTTACAGGCATCATTAGTTTTATTGGTAGCAGGCCAGCTGTGGCAGAGGTCTATTTAGTGTGTGATGGGAAAGCAAAGGAAAGTGTTAACTTGGGTTTTGATCTTATCAGCTTCAATCACTTCCATAAATCTGTGTTCTAGAAATGCATCTAAGTTTGCCCTAACTTTCCTGGGAAGCCCATATTTCCCTCTAGTCCCATCAAAGTTCACTTTATTAACCCAGGAGTTATAGGTTTCAGCAGAAATAAATTCTTTTAGCAGCAACAAAATGTACTTGTCGGGCTTTCCACTGGATTCTCTGAAAATCTCATTCTTTTGTGTAGGAGCCACATATTGTATGCTTACCTCTGGCAGCTACTCTTCTGTAGTATATTTGCCATCTCCTGCACCCACATCCGGACCAGTAATACTCGTGTATTTGTCGGCTTCTATTGGTATTCACTTCACCTCACTTGGGCATATAATTCACAGAAGCCAAAAGAGACAGTTGCCATTTTTTGGAGGAGAACTAGGACACAACAAAAGAGCAGAGGAAAGGACAGGTTTTATACTCCTGCTCATTTGCAAGAGCTCTGAATGGAGAGGAAGAAAGTAAAAGTAGATTTGGCATTGAAGAAAAATCGCAAGTCCTTGACTTTCAGTTAAGCAGAATAAACAATCATAGTCTAGGTAATGGCTTATTTGCAGTTCTGTTCCAGCAATGCTTAGTGGAAGTATTCAAGTTTGAGTTCTTTTGCTTAAAAGTAGAAAGGTCCTTTTGAGAGGGTGATCATCCTGAAAAATCTTTCAGTCTATTTCTTTAGCAAATTTACCTGAATTTGCTAACTTTGTCAGCTCCTCTTCTTCGTGTGTTTGAGGAGTCTGGATATTATAAACTATAGTAAGTCTGTGAATGTTGTATGTATATTTCTGTGTTGTTATATGGCTTCCAAAGTGCCATTTGGGAGTTAAATCAGCTGTCTGGCCTTGGATCTGAAGAAGAGCAAACAAATTTTGAGGCTCTCAGTAGCAGGCAAAAGTTCATAGTTTTTGAAAGTTTTTTTACCCACTCTAATCTGAGCTTGGGGACTGGTTGATCATGAGATGAGAGTTTGGCTGGGATTGCAGGGAGACCTTTTCAAATTAAGAACTTGAAAGGAATTAAAAGATGAAACTGTGGTGAGCATCTGCAGAGCTATACACTCCCCAACAGAATGAAGTGAGGGAAAGAAAAGACCCCAAAAGAAGGAAATCTAAATTTAACTATTTACCCTCATGAAACTAAGTATCAGTAATACGACATGTATTTCATCTTTGATTATTTCTAGCCCTTTTCTTTCTGACGTGATATTCCTATAGATAATTCCTGTTCTCTGCCTGAACACCATGTCCTACAATTTCATGATGGTCATAGAGAGAATGGATAGTTACATCTAAACTGCACTACGGTGTAGAAAGCAATATAGCTACAGCAGCGTGGAGCTGTATACTGATATGACTGGATTTCCTCCAGGATGTAACAGAGCTCATTTAAATTTAGCTCCAGGATCTGTGTATTACTCTACACTGTTCTATGGCAGATGATGAACCTGGCAGGCCCTGCTGGGATTAACGTGGTTGATAATCAGGCATTTCTGTAACATTATCAGCTCAATCTAAAGGTGGAAAATCATCCACCTCCATTCTAGGAACTAGAAGATTTGTGCCTTCTACTTGGAAAGAGGAGAGACTGGGAAAGAAATCAAAAGGACAGCTTCATCTCTGAGCTGCAACTGTGAGTACTTGGGAAGTAAGTGAATTCAAAGTACCAAGTTTGATTTGAGATGAAGATTATCCTGGTAATTACTGGGACTCTGCTGTTTTGTGATTTTGCGTTAGGTAGTTCACCATACAGAAGAACTTGGCAATTGCTAACTCCTCCTGAAAGTAAATCACAGTATAAAGATGCTAGGAGCAGAGCATTGAAACGTGCACTTCCAATAACTCCTTCCTTAGCCCTGAACACCCACAGAAAGAACATGCCCCCTGCACACCAGCTGCTGACAAAGTCAGACCATTTGGTAGGTTCTGAGGCTTTTCAAAGGTTGGTGTTATGACATAAGCTGAGCTTTTATCTTGCCCACATTAATAATATTTAAATTGAAAGAATACACACTCCAAGCAGGCCATGTTCCCAAGTTTGCGCCAAGATCTAAACCATGCTATGCCTCAGGACTCTGAACTCTGGAGTGCTTATTATTTTTTCCCTGTAATCCTTAATAAAATTGTATTGCAGCATGTAAGCAACGAGGGCCGCTTTGATAATTTACTGCCTGTAAGTTCAGATCCATGTTAGTGAAGGAGACTGTCTGCCTTATATTTCAAAAATAATGAATTCAAATTCTGTTGGGACTGTAATTTTATTAGAAATTCCCCGTATCTTCTCTTGTTATTATTTATGGGTCAAATGGATCATTATATTGATTGATCAACACTTAATTTGTTATTATCCATAAGTTCTCAGCAAATAATGAAAATATCTTGTCATTTTGTTAAAGAATAAAACAATATTAGGTTACTTTTTCAATTAATTTTTGCATACGTGTAGATCAAGGTTATATATCTCTGGAGGCTTGGCTAGCCACTGAAACATCTGGCAGGAAAAGCTGAATAGTAAAATAATTTTTATATATAGTAAAGCCTGCATTTTTACCACTGTTCACTGTAAAAATAAACAACATTCAGGGCAGTAGGGTTCATGATAATGCTGTAAGTTAATGGTCTTGAACTCAGCAACAAACTTTTGATGTTGCTATACCAATTCTGTAGCATTATCAGCTCAAACTAAAAATGGAAAATCATGCAGCTCAATTCTAAGAACTAGAAGGTTTGTGCCTGCTGGCTGGAAAGAGGAAAGACTGGAAGTTTATTTACATTTATTTATTTATATTTATTGGCTTATACTTTCTTTTTTATAGTTATGGCTGATTCTCCTGGATTTGTCAAGCACATTTGCTCATGACTTCCACTCACTGACATCACATGCAGCGTAGAAGAGAAACAAGTACTGAAATGCAGGTTTCAGTACATGTGACTTGCATGTACATATTATTCCGTTAATTACAAGTCTTGAGGGAAGGACAGTGGATCCCATTTTCAAAAATTCTTAGTGCATACAAATCATATTCAAGCTAATGAAAACTAATTACTCCTTCTGTGTCTTGCTTTACCTATCTACTGTCTAAAATAGGAATACTGTTGCCATGACGCAAAGCAGAGCTGACAAGAAACAGGTATTCCTTTCCTGTCACGGTTATCTGACGTGGACCAGAGTTAGATGCGTTGTAGATTAAAATTTTTGTTTATATATTTCTAATGCAATAAGTAGCAGGCATATCATTTGTACTTTGTCTAATGAGTAGGTCTACAGATTATCCGTGCTCAAATTATAGTATAATGAGTTGTTCATGAACAGGAGCACCAATAAATTTTGAGTTTTTGCACATTGTATCTTAATTTCCTACAGCTCTGCACCAAAAGAACCCAGTGTTCCTCTCTGAATGCATTCCATGACTTGCATGTGGGACTTCTAATTACTTCCTATGTCTCATAAATCCCTCCACAGTATCCTTGACTAATTACAAATGGGCAAGCTAATGTATTGTGGTTGGCACTGAGCTACCCACATGCAGGCAGGCCAGCTGATAGGCCAACAGACGACATAACTGTTGAATTCACAGTTGAAACTTTTTTCCAGGGAAGCACTAATTTCTTTCTTTACTACCCCGGTTGCAGTTTTCATGAAGCTTATTGTGAACTTTGTATTCTTGGAGTTTCTACAATTTTGCCCCCTCCCTAAAGGAGGGGAGCTGACAGATGTATTGACAAATGAGCAGACAGTGCAATGTTACATACTTTCTACCCTTTGAAAAACAGGCTAAAATGATACATAAAACCTCTCAAAGTTAATTTATAGATTTTTGTTGCAACAATACTGACAAAGTTATGAAATATCTTATAAATATGAATTATGTTATAAATATAAAAGGTGAAACTCTAACTTGTGCCTATAAATCTCTTCAAGCACTAATGTTTATGTAATGGATTCAGTTACCAACAATTATTGCATATGTTACAGAAAGCATTGTAATTTGGGATTCACCTGTGCCATTATATCAAAGCTAAAATTATTCCATGAGACTTTGGAATGTTCCATGTTGGTAGATACTTTGTGCTTTTAACTAAAAGCTTCTCCTTTCACTTTACATCAACAGAAGTGGAACAATTAATGCTTCAAAATACAAGAAAGGCTTTTGTTCTTGTTTAAATTTTTGTACCTTAGCTTGAAAGGTATCTTGAGCTCCTTTGAAGTTTTCATTTAATATACTGCACCCAAACCACTTCTTTATAAGAGCCTCATTTAACTTTTACATTTTAAAGATCTTTTAATGCAAGCCCAAATGTAACAAAAGAAAATTACAGTTGTTGAAGCAGGCAGGGTTGTTGAATAGTGTAGTCACTGAATCTTATGGAAGCTATGTCCTGGAAGCATCTTGTGCAATTCTGGCACTGGCATATAGCTGGCAGGTGGGTCACATTACACAGAATTTGCTTGAGGCTCTGGAATAATGTTTTCTTGAATTATTCATTCTATTCAATAATTTATAGAGACCCCAGTTCCACAGAGTCCAGGTGGCCCCTTGCAGAGAGCCCCATTTGCCTTCAGTGGCATTCCCGGAGAAGTCTGCACGTGCAATTCTTCAGCTCAGGCTTAGAGGCCAGTTCCCTCTGAAGTCAGTAGTTAGACTTCTGTAGACTTTGCTGAGCATTAGATTGGACTGTAAATTCTTTGGTACAGGACTGAGATTTCTCCTCTCTGGATTTGAAAAAAGCTACCACCCAGGTGACACTAACAAGAACTGCAGCTGAAATCATGACTTTGGTGAACTCAGTGAGGACTGCAGGCAGAAGGTGAAGAAAATCAACACTGACAAGTGTGTTAGGATTGTCTGAAATGAATCCTGATAGTGCCCTACCACGCCCACCAATTGCTTATATATAGCTGATATTCCTGCCCAGCTGCTGAGTGGAGGATTTTATAGTGTGCAGAAGTTGCAAATATTTTCATGCCCTTAGTTAGCTTCCTGAATTCCTTGTGAGCAATTCCTGGTAGCTGGTGTACAGTATATTTCTTTTATCATATTAAAAATTTGCCATTTCAGATTTTTGCTGTCCTGCCTAGTTTTGAGGTTCTGATACTGTTGTAAAACTCCATCACAAGTGAGAAAATGCAGATTTCATACCGTGATTTATCAGAACATGAGCTCATCATACCTATTTTTGTATTTTGTTTTTGTGCTTCTACCAGCGTTGTGGGAATTCACACACCATGTCAGACCTTACTTTGAAAGTCTAATTTTCATGCACCATATTTTTTTTCTTTCTGAACTGGGGCAGATGTCCCTTTCTGTAATAATTTAATTAACACTTTAGAATAATGATGCATTAATTAATGCCAGATTACAACGAAAATGCTACAGAATTACACTTTATATCAACATTAATGCAAAATGAGTTCTTCCTGGATAATATTTCTTACAGAGAATACAAAAAGAGATAATACTAATTAGGCCATCAATTTAAATTTACCGTAATTTCAATCCATATCACTTATCTGTTCTCTAGCACAAAACCTTCAATTCTACCATACACTTTTTGCTACATTGATATCAGCATGGCAGCCAGACTGGGATTCATTTCTTCATGTACATATCTGTACATTATAGTACAATCCTGTACTATAATCCTGATTTTAGTGCCTATATTGTAAAGAATTAAACTTTAAAAGTCAAGTCTAGGCTTCATAATGTTCTGACATAGATCTTTCAAGTTAGAGAAACGATACTGGCAAAAGAATACCCTCATTGAAGGCACTAGTTTTCGTATACTGCACACAACACAGTGTTAGAATATAACACATAGTTCAGGTTATTTTAATTCTTCCTGGCAGGGCCCACAGGTAGCAGCTCATGGAGCATCTGCAAAGTCATTCTTTCATCCAAATTATTATTTTAACCATTTTATACCAGAATGTGAGACAAATAAGAGACCAGGGCTCCTGTTCCGAAATAGCTCCAATCTCAGTAGTGTCTTCCCGTTTCTAAGAATAAATTAATTCATTTAAAGCGTGTCTGATCTGCACACTGGTACTTTTTTCTTTTCTTCATATGACCTTCACCTAGATGCTGCCCCTTACACAGGCAAGAAAAGATGATTGAAAAGATAAAGTTCTGAAATGCAAAGCATGAAAAATATTTGGTAGAGACAATTCAATTTCAATGAACATTCAACAAAGCTTTGTTTTCCTCTCAGTTTACCCTCCTGATTCTTGGGCGGTCTGTGTGGAGTTTGCTGGGTCGCCATAATTTCAGGCTCTTCAGCAACCTGTGTCACAGACCAACGGAGAGCCCAGTCACTAGAACCTAGGCAGACTGGCTTACAGGCTCTGCTCTTCATTTAGCATTTCCAGGGCTTATGGGCACTTAGTTGCACTTCAGTCGAAAAGATACCAACAAAGAGTGTCAGGTGCCTGTAATCTTGGATTTCCCAGCATCCTAGGGGCTTGAGAGTTCTTCACCCACTGTGAAGAACTTTGTTTAGAAATTAGCAAAGGAAATGTTTTGATTGTCCAGAATGCAAGTTTTTCAGAATTTGCTGCATGATAAATTCCGAGATAGTTGGAGTTTTTTATTCCAAATACGAACAAAGCCAAATTTTGAAATTCCCTGTGAAACAGGTTACCTTTCTTTGCACATCTCTAACTGCTTTTTTCAAATAGTAAAATTTCTTCCCTTATGAAAGTGTTTTATTCAGTAGATTTAGTTAATTGCTTGCTTTTATACTAATTACGCATACTTTTTTTTTAAATAAAATTGAATGATTTAGACCAACACAGAAAATACTGATGCCCTCTTGGTTTTAGAATATTTTCTCCAACAAGTAATCCTTTGATTTCAATGAGCATTAGTCACTCAGGAAATCTGGAGACAATAGCTGTGACCAACTTTGGAACAGAGACGGAGTTCAAAGAAAGCAAAGCCCACACAGATGATCCTAGATTTTGCTCACTTCATGGAAGCATGTTTCAGCTTGGATTTGTACCTTCCAATCCACATTGGGTGCCTTCCAGAGGGGCCATTCTTTTTCTTTAGACATTTTAGGTGAAAAGTATATATGTGAAGAAAGCAACTTGTATCCAGTCAAATGACATTAGCCCTAAAATAGGAGTTATTTGGGATCTGGCTATCACAAATCTACATGGTCTTCTGCACCAGAATGAATTTCACGCATTGCACTTTGGCTTTAACATGCTGCCTTCTCTAGAGAGGACCATTCTGACCTGTCTATCAAATGGGCAAATTGAGTTAATGCAATAGCTCTTCTCCTTTGCAGAATTTATTTTGAATTTAGAAAAGGTCAGATATGTAAATCTGAGTGGTTTGTGTTATGAAACTACCTCTTCTTTTGGGACAGTTCACTAGAATTGGCCATCACCACCTAGGACTGTTAAAAGAATCTGCAATTAGGAGTAATGAAGTGAGTGGATTTTTTAAAGGGCTTAATATGAAGAAAAGTTATTTTCTTAGGAGCTATCTAATTAGATAGTAGAACAGACCATTTAGAGAACTAAAATAAGTCTCATTACTAGAAAGACTCAGACAAAGTGGACAATGTACTAGGTAAATTATGATAGCTACGTGGACCGAACTGATGTTGATCCCAAGGATCTGGAGTTAGGAAATCTTATACATCTTTTCTGTCTTTAACTTCTGTGAGGACTGGCAAAGAAGGGCTCTTGTAGATCAGGACTGAAGTATAGTGAAACAGCCCGGCTCTAAGGAAAAATTTGCTCTTTGCCAATCTACACTGTGCTTTCCTATCGCAAGTACTATTAATCCCTTACTTTCACAAGCAGTAAAGTATGTTCAGGAAAATGGAAAAAAAAGAAAAAAGGAAAGATTATTTTTGGGTTTTATATGTAACATCAATTAGAAACTAATTGGATTAAATATTTTAGTATAAAAATAGCACTTTTTTCCAGACTTTTTATTTCTTTAGGTTGCCATTTTTATATGTATTTTCCTCTATTTCATTCTGTATATTGTATGTTTTTTCTCATTACATTATTTGATTTCAAAATAAAGAAGTTTTAATCTTCATTTTTTAAATGATCTTAATCCTTCATTGGTGAGAATGGTATCGTGGAAATACACATGAATAAAATATCCTAGTTAGATATCTGATGGTGCTGTGTTTGGCTGAAGCCACAAGTGAATAGCAGGGGAATAAGATCAGATGCCTCCCTGAAAGAGGACATCTTTATGGAGTACAAAAATCTAAATGTGTAGATGTCAGAATTAAGTTCAATTATTTCAGTACACACATATTAAGTAGTAAGTTTATTTTTCCTGGCACGGTTCCAGCCGTAAATCAGGCATGGAATATTTATAAGGTGGTGGCTGATAAAGATTTCAACAACTTTTCAATTTTGACTTTACTCTTAAGGCTTCTGCAGAACTTCTTCCTTCTATGACAGCATCAATACATTGGTAACACCTGCTTCTTTCCAGTTGATCACACCTGTTGACACTTACATGCATTAACAAATCAACTAATAGCTACCTTCTCCTTCTCTTTTTTTCATCTGCATTAGTGCAGGTAGCTCTGTGCATAGAGAATTAAGATATGCAATGTATTCCTTTTTTAAATAGATTTTATTGAGTGCTAAACTTACTTCTGGTCATGTTGTTTAATGATACACACCTTTAACTAAGAAAAGATAGTTCTAAGAAAAGAAAGATTTTTCAAAGACATATGTAACTTTTCCATAATTTCAGCCCAGGACTGTCCTATGAATTACATGTCTTTAAATGTTATCCCAGAACAGCAGGACAATTCATGTTCATACTAGCTCTGTTTTTAGGTCTGTGAAGGAGAAAAGCCCTAAAAGACCCGGCTTTGAAGGAGCTGCTGATAGCCAGAAACCATGGTACTTTACCACAGTGCTGCATATTGGAGCACAGCACAGATATCACCACGCTGACTGCAGAGGGGACATGCATCCGTCGGGAATGGCGTGGCACCATAAGGAGTCTCTAGCTTGGATTCTGAAAGCAAAAGAACCACAGCTGTGTGATACTGCACCTAAAATACTATGTCCTCCATCTTGACGATGGTAATTAATGAGAGAGCACTGCACTGATGAGGTTGTGCTGCTTCTAATTCATGTGTGTTGGTACTTCCAAGTATGGTACAACTAACTCAGGAACCATTGCAAAGATGTTTATTGTCAAAACCATGACAGGTATTAATATCGCCACAGTTACATGATCAAATATCAGTGGCAAAAAAACATTAAAAATCACTTGCTGTAAATGTGCTCAGGCACGTTCATCACAGCTGTACTACATAGATTGGCTAATGACTATTGAGCGCATGAAGTGTACCAAGTTAGAAAGCAAAGAGTAAAAATGCAAGAACCACAAGCTGTTGAATAAATGCAAAGAACTCAGGATCATATTTAGCAAACAGAGTAGTTTTCTAAGTTATTTCTTATGCATTGTTTATTTACCTCTAATAAGTATCATACAGGATAAATGCTCTTTTTATTTCAGCTCCTAGAACATTAAAAGAAAAATCTGTGGAAGCTAGCTGAGGGTTGTGCAAGCAAAACTGAATGGCAAATAAACTGAGGTAAGTTGGAGTTTATGTCCCTGAACATATTGTGCAATCAGTTCATAAGACAGGGTTTAAATATAGATTGAAAACCACAGGGTATTAAGTATCTAGGAATATTTTACCTTATGGAGTTGAAGGCTACCACTAAACTTAACAAAGAGGTAATGTGAAATACAGTGAAAAAATTAATTCCAGGGTGGTCTCTGCCACATACTGTATCATGTGGTGGAAAAGGCTGAGCGCCATAACAAAGACTTTGGGACCAAACCTGACATACTGTATACATTAAACATCTATTTACCTTCTGAGAAAAATTCTTTAAGGAACTTGTGGATTTGTTAACAAAATTTTATGGTATTATAGGGAGCCCACAATCTGGGCTGAAAATGCTAGTGTTAGCCAAACCTTTAGGTGGAGCAAATTTTCCAGAGCTGCAAAAATATTGGTTTTTTGTGAAGCCAAGGAATGGATACCATGTAAGTGGATGTCAGCCCATCTGGATAGTCTTTGTAAAAGCACAAATATTATTCTTTCATTTGTTCTTATTAACAGTGAAGAACTGAAAAGCATTTTGAATCTGAAATCAGCTCTGAAAATCGGGGCTAAGGAGATTTTGAATTGTAAAGAAAATGCAAGGGAAAATACAAAAGGAAAACAAGGGGAGTCTAAAACTGGTGGAAGATTTGTATTTCTCTCCGTGGTTTTTTTGTTCCTCAGTGTCAGGGCCCTGAGGGCACTGCCGGCCCGGGGCCGTCGGC